AGTCAATATGGGGATAACTGTAATTCCCCATTCTTATTATTATTGAGTTTTTAATTTTAATAGCCTCTCTAATCTCCCTGAGCATTTCACAGTCACTATCACCATCCTGGTCAGGTGGTCGGTAATATATCCCTGCCGCTATATTCTTATTATTAGAGCATGGAATTTCTAGCCATAGAGATTCTATGGTACAGTTTGATTGGTTTATGATTTTTACTTCATTTGATTCTACACTTTCTTTCACATATAATGCCACTCCTCCACCAGCACGACCTGTTCTGTCCTTCTGATATATTTTGTACCCTGCTATTACTGTACCGCATTGATTATCCTCATTCCACCAAGTTTCTGTGATGCCTATTATATCAATATCCTCATTTAATACAAGGCACTCTAGTTCACCCATTTTATTATTTAGACTTTTAGCATTGGTATATAAGCACTTTAAAAACTTTTAGCTGTCTGCTATTACACGATGTACTTGAATGGGACTCTCTTTTATTTGACTGTTTCTGATCAGACCCTGCCTGTATTTTATCATTTTCCATCTGCTTGTCCTCACTAGGACATAGAGTTTCTCTATTAATAGATCCTCCCCTAAGGGATGTCCGAACCATGTTCTCCTCTGCACCTGTCGGCTTCCCCCAGCCCCTAGTTTAAAAACTGCTATATGAACTTTTTAATGTTAAGTGCCAGCAATCTGGTTCCATTTTGGTTTAGGTGGAGCCCATCCTTCCTGCATAGGCTCCCCCTTCCCCAAAAGTTTCCCCAGTTTCTTATAAATCTAAACCCCTTCTCCCTACACCATCGTCTCATCCATGCATTGAGACTCTGCAGTTCTGTCTGTGTAACTGGCCCTGTGCATGGAACTGGGAGCAACTTTGGAAAATGAATTCTAAAGACTGCCTGCAGATCTTATGGTACATAAAAATGTCTAAAGCAGCTCAAAGTTCTTCAAGAAAATTCATTGGGCAACTGTGCAAACTTAAAATTCTGACAAGATCAGATTTTTGATCTGTAAGTCCATCTGGAAAGGATAAATATTGCCAAATCCTCACAAACATAATCAAAACACCCAGGTTGGAACAGTGAATATCTGTATCTACAAAGCTCAGAAATATTATTCAGCGGACAATCAAAAGTAAGAATAACAAAGCATATAATTTTGCTTTTAGCCCTGTTAACCTGTTTTTGATACTCGGATGGGCGAAGACCAAAAAAATGAATCCCAATTTGAAAATTAGCCTCACAATACATTTTCTTGAATTGAATAACTGTGTAACGTCAGAAGGTTTATGAACATCATTAAGTAAACTACCTCTGCACAATCTCACATTTTATTTAGTACCAATATTCTGACACTTCTATAGCTAACTATACACACTTTTATATAGTTAATTTGACTATAGAATGTATAGGTTTGAGCTCTCCCAAGAGAAGAAGGCGGGTGGTGGTGGTCGGGGACTCTCTCCTCCGGGGGACTGAGTCATCTATCTGCCGCCCTGACCGGGAAAACCGAGAAGTCTGCTGCTTGCCGGGGGCTAAGATTCGCGATGTGATGGAGAGACTGCCGAGACTCATCAAGCCCTCGGATCGCTACCCCTTCCTGCTTCTCCACGTGGGCACCAATGATACTGCCAAGAATGACCTTGAGCGGATCACTGCGGACTACGTGGCCCTGGGAAGAAGGATAAAGGAGTTTGAGGCGCAAGTGGTGTTCTCGTCCATTCTCCCCGTGGAAGGAAAAGGCCTGGGTAGGGACCACCGAATCGTGGAAGTCAACGAATGGCTACGCAGGTGGTGTCGGAGAGAAGGCTTTGGATTCTTTGACCATGGGATGGTCTTCCATGAAGGAGGAGTGCTGGGCAGAGATGGGCTCCACCTTACGAAGAGAGGGAAGAGCATCTTTGCGAGCAGGCTGGCTAACCTAGTGAGGAGGGCTTTAAACTAGGTTCACCAGGGGAAGGAGACCAAAGCCCTGAGGTAAGTGGGAAAGCGGGATACCGGGAGGAAGCACAGGCAGGAATGTCTGTGAGGGGCGGTCAGCAGGTTATCTCAAGTGCTTATATACGAATGCACAAAGCCTTGGAAACAAGCAGGGAGAACTGGAGGTCCTGGTGATGTCAAGGAATTATGACGTGATTGGAATAACAGAGACTTGGTGGGATAACTCACATGACTGGAGTACTGTCATGGATGGTTATAAACTGTTCAGGAAGGACAGGCAGGGCAGAAAAGGTGGGGGAGTAGCACTGTATGTAAGGGAGCAGTATGACTGCTCAGAGCTCCGGTACGAAACTGCAGAAAAACCAGAGTGTCTCTGGATTAAGTTTAGAAGTGTGAGCAACAAGAGTAATGTAGTGGTGGGAGTCTGCTATAGACCACCGGACCAGGGGGATGAGGTGGATGAGGCTTTCTTCCGGCAGCTCACAGAAACTACTAGAACGCACGCCCTGGTTCTCATGGGTGACTTTAATTTTCCTGATATCTGCTGGGAGAGCAATACAGCGGTGCATAGACAATCCAGGAAGTTTATGGAAAGCGTAGGGGACAATTTCCTGGTGTAAGTGCTAGAGGAGCCAACTGGGGGGGAGCTTTTCTTGACCTGCTGCTCACAAACCGGGAAGAATTAGTGGGGGAAGCAAAAGTGGATGGGAATCTGGGAGGCAGTGACCATGAGTTGGTTGAGTTCAGGATCCTGACACAGGGAAGAAAGGTAAGCAGCAGGATACGGACCCTGGACTTCAGAAAAGCAGACTTCGACTCCCTCAGGGAACGGATGGGTAGGATCCCCTGGGGGACTAACATGAAGGGGAAAGGAGTCCAGGAGACCTGGCTGTATTTCAAGGAATCCCTGTTGAGGTTACAGGGACAAACCATCCCAATGTGTCGAAAGAATAGTAAATATGGCAGGCGACCAGCTTGGCTTAACGGTGAAATCCTAGTGGATCTTAAACATAAAAAAGAAGCTTACAAGAAGTGGAAGGTTGGACATATGACCAGGGAAGAGTATAAAAATATTGCTCGGGCATGTAGGAATGAAATCAGGAGGGCCAAATCGCACCTGGAGCTGCAGCTAGCGAGAGATGTCAAGAGTAACAAGAAGGGGTTCTTCAGGTATGTTGGCAACAAGAAGAAAGCCAAGGAAAGTGTGGGCCCCTTACTGAATGAGGGAGGCAACCTAGTGACAGAGGATGTGGAAAAAACTAATGTACTCAATGCTTTTTTTGCCTCTGTCTTCAGTAACAAGGTCAGCTCCCAGACTGCTGCGCTGGGCATCGCAACATGGGGAATAGATGGCCAGCCCTCTGTGGAGAAAGAGGTGGTTAGGGACTATTTAGAAAAGCTGGACGTGCACAAGTCCATGGGGCTGGACGAGTTGCATCCGAGAGTGCTAAAGGAATTGGCGGATGTGATTGCAGAGCCATTGGCCATTATCTTTGAAAACTCGTGGCGAACGGGGGAAGTTCCGGATGACTGGAAAAAGGCTAATGTAGTGCCAATCTTTAAAAAAGGGAAGAAGGAGGATCCTGGGAACTACAGGCCAGTCAGCCTCACCTCAGTCCCCGGAAAAATCATGGAGCAGGTCCTCAAAGAATCAATTCTGAAGCACTTACATGAGAGGAAAGTGATCAGGAACAGTCAGCATGGATTCACCAAGGGAAGGTCATGCCTGACTAATCTAATCGCCTTCTATGATGAGATTACTGGTTCTGTGGATGAAGGGAAAGCAGTGGATGTATTGTTTCTTGACTTTAGCAAAGCTTTTGACACGGTCTCCCACAGTATTCTTGTCAGCAAGTTAAAGAAGTATGGGCTGGATGAATGCACTATAAGGTGGGTAGAAAGTTGGCTAGATTGTCGGGCTCAACGGGTAGTGATCAATGGCTCCATGTCTAGTTGGCAGCCGGTGTCAAGTGGAGTGCCCCAGGGGTCGGTCCTGGGGCCGGTTTTGTTCAATATCTTCATAAATGATCTGGAGGATGGTGTGGATTGCACTCTCAGCAAATTTGTGGATGATACTAAACTGGGAGGAGTGGTAGATACGCTGGAGGGCAGGGATAGGATACAGAAGGACCTAGACAAATTGGAGGATTGGGCCAAAAGAAATGTGATGAGGTTCAATAAGGATAAATGCAGGGTCCTGCACTTAGGACGGAAGAACCCAATGCACAGCTACAGACTAGGGACCGAATGGCTAGGCAGCAGTTCTGCGGAAAAGGACCTAGGGGTGACAGTGGACGAGAAGCTGGATATGAGTCAGCAGTGTGCCCTTGTTGCCAAGAAGGCCAATGGCATTTTGGGATGTATAAGTAGGGGCATAGCGAGCAGATCGAGGGACGTAATCGTCCCCCTCTATTCGACATTGGTGAGGCCTCATCTGGAGTACTGTGTCCAGTTTTGGGCACCACACTACAAGAAGGATGTGGATAAATTGGAGAGAGTCCAGCGAAGGGCAACAAAAATGATTAGGGGTCTGGAACACATGACTTATGAGGAGAGGCTGAGGGAACTGGGATTGTTTAGTCTGCAGAAGAGAAGAATGAGGGGGGATTTGATAGCTGCTTTCAACTACCTGAGAGGATGGTTCTAGACTATTCTCAGTGGTAGAAGAGGACAGGACAAGGAGTAATGGTCTCAAGATGCAGTGGGGGAGGTTTAGGTTGGATATTAGGAAAAACTTTTTCACTAGGAGGGTGGTGAAACACTGGAATGCATTACCTAGGGAGGTGGTAGAATCTCCTTCCTTAGAAGTTTTTAAGGTCAGGCTTGACAAAGCCCTGGCTGGGATGATTTAATTGGGGATTGGTCCTGCTTTGAGCAGGGGGGTTGGACTAGATGACCTCCTAAGGTCCCTTCCAACCCTGATATTCTATGATTCTATGGTTCTTTTGCAAAATGGTTTAGCTCAAGGCATAAAATAGTTCCAAGGCAAAGGGTTCTCTCAAATAAGAATATTTGTACAAATGTAAAATTGGTGCCATAATGATCAGAAGCCACATACAAGAGATATTTTCCACTAGCTGTCAAAGAGAATGTAACTTTAAAGTATACACTTTTTAGATTGGTCACTAGATAGTCAATTAATCTAAAACCGATAAACCTCGTAGCAGTCACATATCCATCCTACAGAGGGCAGGCAGTAAATTACAATGAGAGTTTCCAGTTCTTACTTTTAAAAAGAGACTATCAGGACAAAAATTATATGTTTGGTTTTGTTGCCATTTTTTAAAACATCTCTGTTACTAGTAATATTTTAGGTCACAGGAAATGGAAACGTGGAAACTAATGTATTTCCATCATTTTTCTTGTTTATTTACTATTTGCATGTAATTCAAATGGAACAGTGAAACAATCTAATTTCACTTCCTGCTTTTCGTGTGATAACACTGTTTGGGTTCATAACTCTGCAACATGGTGTTTAAATATGTTTTTTAAAAAATTATTTTTTTTACAAATGCTTTTAATTTTACAGACACATTTACATAAGAACTGCCATACTAGGTCAGGCCAATTGTCCATCTAGCTCAGTCTCCTGTCTTCCGACTGTGGCCAATACGAAATATTTCAAAGCAATTATTATTTCTATTCACTTTATGTTTTATAAAAACATTTTTAAAAACAGATCCTAATTGTTGAGTCTAAACAAACTGGCAACATCTTCCATATATTTTTACAACATCTTTATGTTTCAAACTATTGAATTAATTTTATTTTGACGCATATCATGTAAATGCTTTTTTCAAGCTAACTAAAGAGGCAGAATTGCAAAAAAGGCATTGAAGACAACAAAGAGAAACTGTCAATCAACATATATATACAGGTTTGGGAAGAGTATATATCACCACACAGACACACAGGAATGCTTCTCTTTGACGACTAAGCAGTCTAACAAAAGCTCAAGACAATATGCCATGTCTGAACTTGATAGTGTTGTTTCAGTGCATCTATTGCTATCATACAAAACTGATTCCAGGGAAAAGGTAACTCCCAGTGCAAAAAGGAAGTATTTAAGTTTATATTTCCATACAGTTCCATGTGAACTTGTGGAATTATCTTCTATGAGAGAGATAACATCTCTTGGATATTGCTAGAAGTAGGTCAGCATCTAAGACTTAATCATTTTGCAGAATGCCCACAAGCCAATGGACAAGAGAACAATCATCATATTTCAATCAGATGCAAGTCAATTTCCAAGAAGAGTACACACTAAAATTTCCTAAACATTTGCATCTCACTTCCTGTCAGCAAATTTCACATTGATGGCGTCTCCAGGAGTCAAAAGTCCATGGGTTTTGGCCTTAACTGGTTTAGTTTTGGGAGAAATTTTGATCTCAAAATTTTGAAGCAGCTGGAAAGAGACATATGTTGATATTAGACAGCTTATAAATTGACAAATACAAACTTATAATTCTAGAAACAGAAAACCAGTAATACTCCTTAGAGTTCATCACTACCACTAATGTTGCTGTCAGTTCCAGTGAACCTGCTTAACACGATTTCTCTGTGGGGAAAATGAAACGGCTCCAGGATGAAGACCATGGTTGACAGCTATGCTCCTCTGGCACGATGGAACTTTCGACAATAAGAGAAAAGCTTGTCTGTGCAGGAGACAGAGCTTTTTCGGTGCCTGGCCTAAAACTGTGGAAAAAACTCCCACAGGAACTAAGGACTCTCTAAGTGCAAGGCATGTATGTCTGACCTTGCCATCATGAACAAATATATAGTGTGTGTATATAATGAAAAATATTCCAAAACAAAATACTCCACTGCACACACTTCTCCACCTGGGCAGAGGATGGAACAACAGAACATGACAGATGTTAGTCGCATTCCTTAATGCAAGTGCTCTGATAATAAAGTGATGAGCATGATACAAGAACCTATATTGAACAGAATAACAATAACAGTCTGTCATTCAATCAAGGTGATTCTGCTGATATTAGACCATTGCACTGATGCCCATGATACATCCACTAAAGCAGCATGAGAACCAACACATGGGAGAGACAGCAACTTCTTTGAAATGCTACAGTGCATTACACAAATGACTGTGGAGCACATCCAAGTAGATCAGTTCTGACTGTGAAGTCATGGTAAATAAATAAATAAACAAACAAACAAATAAATAAATAAAATTGCAAACTCATGTGGTTTGATTGCTCAATCTGATCCAAATCTTTTGGGGGATTCTTGGAGATGCATACATACAGTAGGAATTGATAGGAAAGCCTTCTCTACCTCAGGATGTAATACAAAATAATCTATATAAAACAGCAAAAAAGAATACATGCAGAAGCCTGAAAAAGAAGACACAGGGATCAGAGAAAACATGGAGACGGTGAATGTTTGATTTGAATGTTGGTTAGTATGGTCTGCCTAGTCTCAGGATTACAAACCTTCTTCACTTTCTGGTAAATGCTCCACTGTTCTCAATACAACAATGTTTTAATTAAAATCCTATAACTGAGTAAAGAACCATCCTGCCATATGCCAAGGGAGCCTTTCATTTAAAGGTTGCAATTGACTTATGAAAATCCTTTTACACTAAAGTAATTTATTTCCTTGGTAATCTTACATTGGATGGATTTTGCTTGTACTACAACTGGGATTTACAATTTTTATTTCTGTAATGTAGATTTTTATTGAAATGCTTAATTCTAAGCACATGTGTATTCTGAATGAAAAAGAATGCAGGATCGGGGCCTAGTCAACATTCTTTAAACAAAGCTTTTCTTAAATAAAAAGATGTCCAGAGGCAGTTTGCATATTAAAGAGCTGATACTAATATATTTTTATCTCTTTATAACACTGTCACAGATTCCTCACCTGAATCAGTGCAAGGTGAATTTCCAGTTCTGCAATTCTTTTTCCTATACAACTGCGAATGCCATAACCAAATGGAATGGAACCAAAGTTGTCCACTCTGTCCGTATTGTCTTTCCTCAGCCAGCGCTCAGGTCGGAAATCATTTGCCATTGGGAAATTCTCTTCCTCATACGATGTAGCATAATGACAGAGTGCTAACTGGGTCTGAGAAAACAAATGATATTTTATTTTTAATTAATGCTGATACACGTAGCAATAATAATAATAATTCAGTTATAATTTGTATAACATGAAATATGATGGATAAAAAGATGATGTAGAAATTACATATCTGAGTTTTCACAAAGAGCAGTATCTCAAAATTAGATCTCCTTCTCATTGGCTCAAATTAGATCATCTACAAAAACTTTTAGGCTCAGTAAAAGATTCCTCATGAGCTTGTATAAAAAGAAAATACACAAGGGAATGTAATATAATAAACCCTTTTATGTCTGTTTTTCTCCTATATATATTGCCTAACACAATCAAAGGAAAAGAGGAAGAGATGGTTACTCACCCTGTGCAGTAAATGAGGTTCTTGGAGAGGTGTGTTCCTATGGGTGCTCCACTGTAGGGGCGGCAGCACCCCCTGCACCTGGGATGGGAGATCTTCACCAGCAGTGCCCGTCAGACCGCGCGTACGCACCTCCCCTCTCTCGCACTGTGTGCGGGACGCATATAGAGTGCTCTGCGGTCCGACCACCCCCAGTTCCTTCTCTGCTGCAGAGCTTATATTTTCGTCTCTGAAGCAGAGGGGAGGTGGGTGGGTAGTGGAGCACCCACAGGGACACACATCTCGAAGAACCTCAGTTACTGCACAGGGCAAGTAACCTTTTCTTCTTTGAGTGACGTCCCTATGGGTGCTCCAGTGTAGGTGACTATAAAGCAGTGACCCTAGTTGGAAGGCTGGGGCTTCAGAGCAACATGTACTGTCGAGGATAGGACAGCATGTCCAAGGAGAGTATCCATTGCAGCATTGTGCAAAAGTGCCAGGCAAAAGTGTTTGTTGGTGCCCATGTGGCAGCCTTACAAATGTCATCAATGGGGACATTATTAAGAAAGGCAAACGAGGTAAATAATGATCGTGTGGAATGTGTTCTGACTGAGATAGGAGGTTGTCTATCGTGGAGTTCATAAAATAAATGCATACAAATGTGCATACATTTAGAGAAGCATTGTTTTGATATAGCAGTGCCTCCGGATCTTTTGGTGGTGGATTGGAATAATCATGACGATTTCCGGAAGCATTTAGTCCTGTCCAAGTAGAAGACTCATGCACACCTCACATCTAGGGTTTGTAGAGCTGCCTCCTATTGATTACTGTGAGGCTTTCAGAAGAAGCAAAGGAGGTGTATTGGTTGATTGAGATGAAAAGATGTTGGGACCTTAGGTAAGAATCTTGGGTGTGGGCGTAGTTTAATTTTGTCTTTACAGTAACACTGTGTATGGTGGACATACCACGAGGGCTGTGAATTCGCCCACCTGCCTAGCAGAGATGATGGCAAAAAGAAAGGCCATTTTCCTTGATAGGTGTATGTAAGAACAGGTTGCCATTGGTTCAAACGGGGGCCTAGTGAGAGAACAGACGACTAGGCTGGGGCCAGGCTGAGGTCAAGTCTTGTATATGGCAAATACCCATCAACAAGCGCTTCATGAGCAGGTGTGTGAAGACGGAGTGGCCAACAATGGGGGAGGGAAAGGTAGTGATTGCCGCCAAGTGTACCCTAATAGAGCTATTGGCCAATCCTGGCTGTTTAAAGGGGAGGGTGTGTAGTGGGACAGTGGCCCCACTTTGGCAGAAGAGGAGTTAAAGCAGGCTGGAGGGCGCCTGTGCAGAACCCGACCAATCAGAGAAGGGCAGAAAGGCAGCCAGTCAGGGCCAAGCTGGGCCCTATATAAAGGCTGCAAAGAATAAGTGGCAATGGAGAGTGTGCTGTGTCAACCTGACGTGAGCTACATCAGCAGTGAAATCTAGTCCATTTTTGAATGTAAGTGTGTCTGGTTGTGTCACGCCTGCTATTCAAAAGTATCTGTTTGATTTAGTCTGAGCAGGCTATTTCTGGACCCCAGAACCACAGAGGAGCCAGGCTTTAAGGTGGAGCATCTGCGGATTGGGATGGAGAATGCATCCTGTGTGAGGATCCACGGTTTTAGGTGGAGACAGATCGGTCAGCATACCATCACGCGTAGAAGGTAAGTATACCAGACCTGTTGTGGCCATGTTGGAGTTATTAGTATGACATGAGCTCAGTACGCCTGTATTTTGCGAAGTACTCGGAATAGGAGAAAGGGAGGGAAGGCATAAAGGAGTGGTATATCCCAGGTTACGAAGAACAAGTGTCCCAGCAATCCGCGCCCCAGTCCTGCTCCAGAACAGAATTGAGGGCAGTGTGCACTATGTTGAGTGCCAAAGAGATCTATGATGGGACAGCCCCAGTGGTTGAATATGGGTTGAAGTGCTCGCATATCCAGCTCCCACTCATGATCGTGCAAGACCATCCTGCTCAATGTGTCTGCGGTTGTGTTCTGGGAGGTGCATGGCTGAAATGGAGATGTTATTCTGGATACATCAGTTCCACAATTTGATTGCCTCTGAGCATAAAGAGTGGAACCTCGCTCCACCCTGCCTGTTGATGTAATACATTCAGGCAAGATTATCCGTCATCACTCTTATGATATGATGTTTGAGAAGAGGTAAGAAATGTCAGCAGGCATTGCGAACCACTCGTAGCTTTAGGAGATTGATGTGTAAGGTAGATTCGGTGGACAACAATCTGCCCTGCACCGAGTATTTGTATAGATGCACTCCTCAACTGATTTGGGAGGCATTGGCGTTTAGTATCCTAGTTGGCGATGGTTGTAGGAAAGGAACTCCAACAAAGACTTTGCTGGGCTGTGTCCACCACAGCGGTGAATCCTTGACTTGCCTCGGCATGGATAAAAGTTTGTGAGTGCTGTATTTGTGGGGGAGGTATTCGATACAGAGCCATGCTTGAAGAAATCGCATGTGTAGTCTTGTGTGCCTGACCACAAACATGGTCACTGCCATGTGGCCTAGAAACTGGAGGCATATTTGTGCAGAGATCTGGGGGCAGACCCGTGCAATACCAGATCCGTTATAGCCGAGAATCTGTGAGGTGGTAGGAAGGTTCTGGCATGTATGGCATCCAACTGTGCACTGATGAATTCCAGCTGTTGTACTGGCATTAGAATGGACTTTTCTAGGTTCACGACGAGGCCTACCTTCGTGAACAGGTCCATTGTTATATGGACAGCTCAGAGTGTTGATTTCAGAAGGGGCCTTGAGGAGACAGTCATCCGAGTATGGAAAAATGACGATTTCTTGTTTCCTTAGGAAGGCCACGACTACTGCAAGGACCTTGGAGAACATCTGAGGTGCCATGGAGTCTGAAGGGCAGTACTTTGTACTGGCTGGTGCCCACGACGAACTGGAGGAATCGTCTGTGGGCAGGATGTATGGAAATATAGAAGTATGCATCTTGCTGAAAACCAGTCCCTCTGTTCCAGTGCTGGGATAACAGTGGAGAGGGTAACCATCTTGAAACATTGCAGCTTGAAGAATTGTTTCGATTGCGAAGGTCCATGATGGGGCCACCAGCCTTCTTCTGAATCAAAAAATAGTGATAGTAGAAACCTTGTCACATGTGCTAGGAAGGGACATGGCTCCCAGAAGATGACTTATTTCTCCCCATAGAATGGACTCATGAGAGGGGTCCCTGAAGGACAGGGAGAGGGAATGGCAGGGTGGGAAAGATAGGAAGGGGATGGAGTATCCTTCCTTGAATATCTCTAGAACCCACTTGTCCAAGGTGATGAGACTCCAAGATGGGGAAAATGGAGCTAGTTGGTCACCAAACTGTTGGAACATCAGAGAGGGTGGGGATGACTGGAACAAGAGAATGTTTCTAGGGGCCTCAACCACACCTTCAAAATTGTTGCTTTGGTGCTAGTGCATGAGAGGTAGCTCCTTGAGGAGTGGGCTGTCTACGTTTAATCAAAGGCCTTGTCAACAGCATTGGGTTAAGAGGTGTTGAGAGGTGCATTGTTGAGTTCGGGATCACAGGGGGCAGTTGATACTTCCCTGAGCATCCCTTTGGTGCTGGCATGTATATCCTGAGAGAACAAAGTGTAGCTCAAGAATCTTTAAGGGAGTGCAGAGAGTTATCTGTGCACTCTGAGAATAGTTCCTGGCCTTGGAATGGTAAGTCCTCTACTGCTGTTTGTACCTCCTTAGGAAAGCCTGAGAAGTGGAGCCATGATGCACACCTCATGACCACAGCAGTTGCGATGGATTGAGCAGCGGTGTCTGCAGGATCTAGCGAGGTTTGTAGGGCTGTACAGGCTAGGAGGTGTCCCTCCAATATTAAGGACTGGAATGGCTCCTTTTTGGTCTCTGGTATATCGTGACAGAATTCCTCCAATTTGGAGTAGTTCAGATCATTATACTGGGCCATGAGAGCTTCATAATTTGACATCCTAAATCGTAGCGTGGAGAGTATGCCTTGTGTCCAAATAGGGTCCAGGTGTTTCCAATCTCTTCTGGATGACTAGATCGAGGTTGGTACTGATGGCTTCTCTCCTGCACCGCACTGACCACCAAAGCATTTGGGGTGGGGAGCGAAAAGAAAAATTCAGCATCCTTCATCAGAACATAACATTTTCTGTCGGCGTGTTTGCAGGTCAGAGGGATGGAAGCTGGTGTCTGCCATAGAACCTTTGCAGGTTCGAGAAAAGCTTCACTGAACAATAGTGTGATCTCTGAGGAAGAGGATGTGTGGAGAATGTCCAGCAGTTTATGCTGCTGGTCTTTGACTTCCTCCAATGATATCTGGAGGGAATCCACAATCCTATGGAATAGATCTTGAAAGTGCCTGAAGTCATCGGCAGATTTAGGGGGTGGTGGCATAATCGCCTTGTCAGGTGAGAAGGAGGAAAAATTTAAAGTTGTGGGAGCCTCCTCTTCCTGCTCTTTCTCCTGTTCTTCCTCCCTGGTACTGGTGGTGGTTCGACTTCCTGAGGACGAGAGACTGATGGAGAAGGGAGAGGTGTAGGTCTCCAACTTTGCTCTCTGGGAGGGTTCCTGAATTGTGCCCTGTAGCCCAAGGGTCCCAATATGGCCAGTTTGGTGGGAGTGGCACATGTGGCTGCATCCACAGTGGTCCCTGCCAGGATTGGGGGCCAGAGTGAGGATAAGCCAGTGCAAATTGCCCAGAAGTCGAGGGAACAATGGAGCCCTTGTCCTCCTCCTCCTCTTCCTCCCTGGGGAAGGGAGGTGCTGTCCTCGGCGAAGAGAGGAAGGAATGTTGTGAATCCAGAGAGGAAGGCAGAAGTGGGGGGAGATCCCGTCAAAGAAGTGAAGACTCGGGAGTGTCAGATATCAGCAGGTCTTTAGAGTATCTGAAGTCTTGTGGAGGGGAAAGGAGCATCATTGGTGCCTTTGTAATACACGGTGCCGAAGAGAGGGTGTATGTCCCTGAAATTTTAGAAGATGGCTCCAGAGACTTAGCCGATGACGTGACCAGTGCCAAAGACTTGATCGGTGCTTAAGATTTCAGTGTCAATGATTCGGTTGGCGTCAGTAACTTGGCCGGTGCCAATGATTTTAATGGTGCCGAGGACTTACTCGGTGCCAACAGCTTTATCAGTGCCAGAAACAGTGTCGGTGCATAGTTCCAGCAAGCGGGCTGCCTCAGTCCCCAGAGCTGGGAAATGGCATTGAAGTCTGAAGGTCTGGCCAGATAGGTTCTTTAAACCATTTCTTTGAGCCTGTACCAGAGGTACTCAGACGAGCCCTGGAGCTATGTCCCCTGTCGGATGAGGCTGAGGCCACCAACCTAGCCAGGGACAGTGTTCTGGCAGGCTGCACCTCAGAATGTGAGGAGGAGGACGCCCGTTTCTGGTCATCTGCACAATCACAGGATGACTTTCTCTTCACACGGCATGGATAATAGGGGTCAGCAGATGACCTGGCAGAGTGTGAGGGCCTCTCTGGGGGAGAGTCCGGGCCCGGGTCCGATGCTGGATGTAGCAATCTCTCCATGAGGAAAAGTTTCAATCTAATGTCCCTGTCCTTTCTGGCGCTGGGTTTCAGGTGAGACAGTGTCTCCAGACAGCAGATACGCTGCGGGTGGCTGTCCATTATCGAGAAGGCAGCCCCACACGAAATGCACTCTTAAACTCGGGAGAGCCAGGCATAAGGATGAAGGGAAAAGGCTTCGCAGTCGGGAAAGGTGGGAAGTGAGAAAAACAGAAACCTAAACTATGAGAAGAACTGTAAAGATTAAGTTAAAACAAAACAAAACAAAATTTTGTAGATAGAAGGAGAAAGAAAAAGAGGAGGAAAATACTAAAAACATTATCAGGTAAGGCACTCTCTATGAGGGAATAGGAGAAGCGGGCTCTGCTAGTGGATTCCGTCCCAGACCAAAGGTGGTAGAGCAGGAAGTGGGGGTGGTCAGACAGCACAGCTCTACATATACGTCCTGCGCACAGCACAAAAGAGGGGAGCTGCACATGTGCAGTCCGACGGGCACTGCTGGTGAAAATCTCTGATCCCAGCCGCAGTGGGTGCTGCCGCACCTACATTGGAACACCCACAAGGACATCACTTGAAGAAGAACTGCATTTATAAAAAAAGAAATTGGAGACTAGATTTTGTTCTCAACTACTTTAGGGGGTGTAAATCTCATCTACTTTGGTGTAAATCCTGCATATCTTCACTGATTTCAACAGATTAACTCTGAATTTACACCAGTGTAACAGTGGAATTTGGCCTTAGGAGGTGACACAACAAGAGATAGCATGGCAAAGAACATACATCACAATTTATAATATAAAAACAGAAATGAACAGAAGCCACATGTGTACACCTAAGTGCAGAATTTAGCCATAAGGGTTGACACAACAGGCAGTTGCATCACTCCTTCGAAACATTCTGATCTATTTTGCAAACATATATCAGAATTAAACCAGTGGTTTCAAACACATGACTCATGAGCCAAACCCACTCCCAGTGTGATGCATTGTTGTGGCCCACATGCCATACTCAGATTCTGCAAAATCTAAGCTTTCATTTTTAAAAAAAATAATTTTTTAACCTCATGATTGTGAAAATAACTTTCCAAACACGAACCAGGTGTAAATCAATGCAATTCTTGAGTCTGCAGACATTGTGAAACAATAACTTTGAGGGATGTGGGTTCCCCAGCTCCCTCATTAACTCATGGATTAACATTAAAGTCTATTTACAACATTGTAACGGTCAGCATTAATTATTTAACTGATGATTATTTTAGAGCAGAAGGGATGGGGAAGGCATAGGTACAAAACTGGGAATTGTGTCAGGAAGAGAAATGCAAGATGGAGACGTGAGGAGACAGACACAAAGGCTCATATCCACAAAGGGGACTGGACCATGGGTCTCCCACCTGCCAGGTGGATGCTCAGCTCACCAGGCTATAAAATTATTCTCACTCTCTTTGGCACACTGACGAACTATTTATTTAAAGCACAACAGCTTGAACAGGAGGGACTGAGGGAGCCCCACGTCAAAATAACCCATAACTCAGTGGTTAGAGCACTGTCCTGAGGGGAGAACCTTTCCCACCTCCTTTCTCTGTATCAGATAGACGGGAGAATTGAACCTGGGTCTCCCATATCCCAAGTGAGTACTCTAACCATTGGGTTATAAGGTTGGCACCACTCTCTCCTCTTCTGCCAGTTGTTTGTGTGGAGTGAGACAGATGCCTAACTCAGGACTTGTCTACACTGGCACTTTACAGTGCTGCAACTTTCTCACTTAGGGGTGTGAAAAAACACACCCCTGAGCACTGCAAGTTTCAGCGCAGTAAAGTGCCAGTGTAATAGCTATTCCCCTTGTGAAGGTATTTTTTTTATAGCACTGGGAGAGCTCTCTCCCAGCGCTATGCTGTGACTACACAAGCCATGTTAAAGCGCTGCCATGGTGCTAGTGAAGACATGCCCTCATTCTCACAATAAATGACTAAGGCCTGACTGCAGCAGAATGATTTCTGGTTGTGGATCACTAGCAGAGATAGGTGCCTCCCTGCAGCCCAGATTTAGGTGCCTATCTCCTAGAAATGGATGGAACTTAGGACATACCACTCTTGTCAGAATTTCCCATTGGCTAGCTTAGGCTAGCTCCTTGCCTAGTGTGCTGACTTTTGTGGATTGTATTCTTAGACACCTATCTCTCCCCATTCATTGTATAGGGAGCCTAGGTGATGTGGATCTCGTTATTCTGATGATTTTCCAGGTAACACCTAAATCCCTTTGTGGATTCAGGCCAAGACAGTGGAAAAGGAGAGAAACAGAAATGAGAATGTAGAAGAAAGGAAAACAGAGATCAGAAATAGTGGCAGTACTAAAGGTGATCATTTAACCAAGAGAGATGCTGAATGCAATAGATAAATAATAAAGAATGTTAAGAACGCAAGGGTCTGTTTCTTTACACTAAGGCCCTTTTACTTTGCTCTGACAATGTAAAAGGATTTTAAAGGAGCAAATTACACTTACATCCATTTAAAAGGCCACTTAACTCTTCTATAGCAATGTCAGGGAGCCTTAACGTAAATGAGAATCAGGCCTTCTAAGCTTAGTTACTTTATAAAAGCATATTCTACCCTTCATCTTGTGTAAGTCTCCAAATGGTATCAATGAGAGTTCCACTGTGAACTGAGAGTAGTTTGTAGTCCTAATTTTATACCTTGGCTATGACCATAATTAAAACAAAAATTCACCTCTCCCGATAGAATGAGTTTGATACCCCAAATTACACTAATTTACAAAAATAATTAAATGTGTGCTCTAGTTTGAAATCTAATCATAGCAACCTAATACAAATTTATCAACAGCCCTCTTTGTTTCTAAGGTACTGAAGAGTAAAGCCAAAACTGAAAGACTCATCAGAGGGTGAGAACCAGTCCTTCTAATAAGGAAAACACTCACATTTCCATCAGGATTTAGGTAAAAAACATAGTCAGTGATGAAATTATTTTTTTTCACATAAATGAACACTATTATAAATTCCTCTTTCCTGTGCTTCCATCTTTGGTGATATCTTGCAAAGTCACACAAGTGTACTTCTGTCTTAATGGAAGACTTTCCATACATAAAGACATAAATCTGTCAGGACTGGTCTAGGTATATTTATCCTGCCTCAGCATGGTAGGGATACCCCTATAGGAGATTGGGCCAGGGATACAAGATGACCTTTTGAAGTCCTTTCCAGTCCAACATTTCTATGATTCTATGAAGAAAATCTGTTCCTCTCCCTCCATAAGGCCATCACACAACTCACCCCTTTAGGTATCAAGTATCCTCCAACAACCAAGTCTTCTTGTGTCACTCTACCATTTCCTGGCAATACTGGGAATAACCTACAGACAAATGTTAATGAGGGATTCAGCATCTATAATTTATAAAATTTACAAAGGTTTACAAAAGATCCAGTTTAGCTACCACATTAACATATACTCAGAGTGAAAAGAACTGTAGCAAGTATGGATTCTCTTGGGGACCAAAAGAGTGTGGGGCGCCATGGTCTGTCTATTGGTCTCTATAAGACTAGTTGCTAGTATCTCTTTAGTTCTAATTTTGGCTCTGCCAGAGAAATAATAAGAGACAAGATGGGTGAGGTAATATCTTTTATTGGACTAAAGTACCTTTTCCGGACCTGAAGAAGAGTTCTGCGTAAGTCTGAAAGCTTGTCTTTTTCACCAACAGAAGCTGGTTCAATAAAAGATATCACCTCACCCACCTTGTCTCGCTAATATTCTGGGACCAACACGGTTCAACAACATTGCAAACAAAAGTGAAATAATGGGTAGCCGTAACATGACAAATTAATCTCAATGCCTCAGTTTCTCCATCTGTGAAATAGGGATAATGATACTTCTGTCATTTTACTTCCATGAGCACAGGTACTGCTCCTGGCTAGCAGAGCTAGCCACCCCTAAAAGGGAGAAGTAGGCTATGTGTCCATGGCCTCAAGAATGGTAGCAGTGGGCACACTCTCCCTGTACTCACTGAAGCACAACTTCTCCAGAACTCCTGCTGAGGTGGTATGGTTTCACAGTCCCTCACAGTGATCAGTGCTCTAACGGCACAGTCAAGCTCTTAATTATCTATTACAGGAACATTGTGAGCATTAATTAGTTAATATTTATACAGCACTTAGGAAACATAAAGTATTATATAGGTGCTATGTATGATATTAAATTGCTCAGAATGCACTGAGTATACTGGTGATACAATGAATAAAAGTAATAGCAGCCACCACCACCAATAGCAGAAACTGAAAACATATTTTAGCTTGGACACAAGAGTCACTATAACCAGAAAGAAACTGGCAGACAACTGCATGTTGATCATTAAAAGTTTCACTTACCTCAGGGTTTCTTTGAGCAGGCCTCTAATCAGTGGCAATTTGGGGACATCATCTGAAGTGGGAACTTGATCTTTTCCCAGATTATTGACTATCTCTTCATACACAGATTCCTGAACTTCAGGATGCTTTGCCAACAAGTATGTTGCCCAGGACAAAGTGAAAGAAGTCTAAGAAAGAAACCGCCAACATCATCAGGAAAAAGAAAAAAATAATGAAAGTAGCTACAAATATTTAATTCAATGCCAGGAAAAACAAGCAGTTTTCAACTAAGGATTCACTATGTACACACACAGTTATAAAACAAAAGGATATGAGTAACATCTGGGTTTCAGGGCATGGAATCAGTCTACATCATCCTCTACCTCAGCCCTTTTCCACCTGGAAAAACACACCAGAACTACCCCTCCTCCGTATTTCTACAAGTGAAAGATCAAAAAGCAACAAGAAAAGTAAACTACAAAATGATATATGTAATACAAAAGCTATAAACATGAATGGATGAAATTATTAGCTAGTTCTCAATTACTGCTGTGCCTTTCCTCCCAACAAAAATATTCTGCAGGATGATAGAATGCTATGCAGACCATTTCCACCCACTGTAAGCATATTGCATTCTCCTCACAGAATCCTAGTAACGATAACATTGATATTACCATTTCTAGAATTATATCTCATCATTTAGTAAGTGATGTTGTAACATAATATGCATTTTCCAGCAGTTGGAAACTACTAATATGACATAATTCTACCTCCTATGGAAAGTTTTCCTATCAATGCTTAAGGGGAGTGTGTGTATAAATCAGAGTTTAAAACAACCCAGCATAATTCACCTTTTTACTCTCTTCATGAATAAGCTGTTTCCATTAAAATGACATATTCAAAGAAAACAAATCACACATTTATGATACTAATGATCATGAAAGACTGTACAGAATTACAGGTTTCAGAATTAGGCATTTAAGGAGACACTGGCATATTAAAAATCATAAATTCCAAATGTGGCTTGCCCTGCATAAGCGCACAAAGGCAGGGATAGGACACAAGAACAGGAGCCATGTCCCCATCCTTCTCTACACCAGCTAAATGACTGAAGTTGGTGCAGGTGCATGTGTGTGTCGGAGACCACGTTACCACATCCAAAAAGAAGGTACAGCAGCCTCTTTTGAACCTGCTTCCCTCAGAACTCCTCTCCACAGACAGAATACCTCCAAGACTGACTGATTCAGTGTCCCTTGGCAAACATGGCAGTTTACTTTTTTATAAATAACATCTTCGATTACTAAAAGTGAAAGAAGATTTAATCTCTACTTTATTTTTCACCATTGAAAAATAATGTGGTTTGAGTTTGCATTTTTCTCAGTTTATATAATGAAAACAGATTATTCAGTTTCATTTTTGTATAGTTAGTTACCAATCAATTTTACTTTCAGGTTCTCATGCACGACAACAATGTTGGAATTTTTGGGTTGCCAACAATATACTGGTAAAAACAAATTTATGGAAATATTTCTGTTGGTATAACTTTACAAAATTGGAATCAGAGAGCAAGTTTGACATGACAGTGACCTTTTCAGTTTGTGTTTATTTGCAAAATTAGGACACAATGCTGAAAATCCTGTCCCCAAATGTGTCTACTCTGCAATGTAGGCCCAGGGTCAGTAGAACGTGAGTTAGCAGACCATGGGTTTGTTTACCTAGGGCTTGTGCATCTACACTCATTTGTAACCCCAAGTTAGGAATTGTTGAAACCTGGGTCTCAACCTGGGGCTCCAGCGTCTACACTGCATTCTGTGAGCCCAAGACCAATCACACATATCCCTGACTTCCTTGCGCCCTCCCAAAATGTGAACACTCTGCCCTTTGTTCATAGTGCAGTGTGGAAAAACTTGACCAGCCACCAGAAGACTGTCCAATGGGCAAAAAGTTGGCTGGTGGGATTGCGTAATACTTTTTGCGGACTCCCTGTGCATAAATTCAGTGGGGCAGCATCTACACTGCAAAGCAATAGGGCTTGAACCATCGGACCCAGCTGGACTCAGGCTCGGACCCTCCACCCCTGGGCGGGTGCCCCTGGGTCAGAGCCCTGGGTTAGTGCGATTTGTGTGTAGATGGAAGGGAGATTAGGCTTGAGCCAGAATTCAAACCCTGGGCTTACATTTCAGGGTAGAAATAGCCCAAGAATCCTCTTTTTAGCCTTCCGTCCCTATAACATCCTTCACTACAGCTCAGTTCTGGGCTGCTCCTCTCTGAAGAGGCTGACAGTTGTGCCAAACTACACACAAGAGTTATTGTGATATAAACAGTGTCTCCTCTCAGGTTCCCAGGTCCTTCATATCCTCTTCAAAACTGGCTCTGTGCTACAACAGCCAAAATGCTTGGAAGCCAAATAACAGCTTTAGAAATTTATTCAAAATCTTTAATAATCCTTGTGAGCTCTTTCAGTTTCCATCATGTAACAAAACCTGAAATGCCAGCATTGGGGAAACAGGGCTCCCTCCATTTCTATCATGTACCAGAAGGGGGGAAGCCAGAAGCACATGTTTCTCATAAAATAATCATTGTTAGTTGAGAAAGCTGTATAAATGCAAACACAGTCTCTGTTGTCATGAACTAGTACACTGCCCTTTTGGTTAATGAAAACTCTCTCTGCCTAAAAGTGGAAAATTAGGGCTTTGAAAGGCTGGAAAACTAATGGGATGAATAAATTGTGTTTTATTTAAATAAACAATAAAAAGCTCACCAAGCTCATAAGCCTCTGGAAAACTTAACCAACCGAGTAATTCTAATACAGAAATAAGCCCTTACATATGCTCTTTGTTCTGAGGCTAATAAAGTTTCTTTTTTTCCCAACCATCCCTCCAGACCGCTCTCACACCCAGAGAAAGCTGAATCCAATTAGCAACAAATGAGCTGGATTTTTATTTCAAGCTTACTGGCAAACAAGCTTGTACAGGGTTATAGATCTTCATCAAACCCTTCTAGGCTTGATCCAAAAAGTTTAATTACAATCTCCAGCACATGGCTCATTTATATCTCTGTGGATGAACCCAATCCTAGAATGCAATTCTCAGCTGTGCTGAGCCCATGCTGTGGGGCAGGGAAGGCGGAGGTGGCTCTAAAACCACCTTTATGCCACCCCAATCTCTAATCCACAGGGATGTTCTAACATGGACTGTCAAGAATGGTTCCTTAGACATTATGTGTATCATACTCTAGCCTCGCCGCCTGCCCCCCTAACCAGGCTCCATCATGCCCCGCCCCTGCCTTCGAATGCCCCCACCACACCCCATCATGCCCCCTATACCAGCAGGGCTGGCAGAAAAACGGCACAGAGTTCAGGCTTCCTCCATGCTTGTGACTTCACATCATCCCCATACGGCTGGTCTAAGATCCCCTTGATATCAGTCTAGTGGTACAAAGGGACTTTAACAGAGGCCACGTATCTTATCTATAATGTCTCTCAATGATTAATTGTACATATATCGAAATCTATTAGCAAGTTCTAAATATACCTATTTTTTTAAAGAGAGACCCTCAATAGAGTTGCCTATTTCCTTTTTTCTGAAGGGCCATTAAATATTTATTCCATCCCCAAACTAGAAAAGGGAATTTAAGAAAAACTAACAAATACATATATTTCTATTAGACTGTGAAGTAGTGTCCTATAGAAAATGGTGGAAGCCCCATCACTTACAAAGTTCAAAATCAAATTGCACTGTAGAGAGTATATTTTGGCTTCAGTGGATGGACTATATGAACTAGTACATATTTTCCATTACTACTATGATTCCATGATTCATACATGCAATTTATGATGCACAAAAACGCTTACACAGCACTGGCGCAAGGTTGCAAATGGAGTGGATTTATACAGCAATAAAATTGTCCAAACAGAAAATGATATAATAATCTTACTGTGTCCACTCCTGCCAGAAGCATTTCAGTCATATTAGCATAGATCTCTTCCACAGTAAGCTCTTTAGTCATTAGGAGATAGGTGAGTAGCCCACCTTTTACTTCTTCTCCTTGGTCCAATTGGGACTGAATAGCCTTTATCTTGTTGTCAACGTGGATTTGACCTTTTAAATGACAAAAAAAAAAAAAAATTAAAAAAATCCCCTAATCATTGTTCAGCCCTTCTTTTCTTTCCTCCCTTCTTTCCGATTTATACTTCGGTGATTACAAACATGGCACCTCCAGTGTAGAGGTGGGTTATGCTAAAGAAGAGGTCATACCACAATGCTTAAACCACCCCACAGATTGGTCAGATGCTGACCTCATAGAAAAAAGAACCATAATTGGCATATTCTTGCATGAAGACCACACAGACAAACACACACACAAACAAACAGGTGACCTTGGTAAAGCACATAATCTCCACCTATATTTTAATTCCTTTTCACAGCAAGTGCTACTGCAAAAAAGAAACAATGTGACAAAGAAACCTGAAAACAAAGAGATTGGAGTCTGTTGTTGTTCAGTTGCTGTTAATATTAATCAGAGGTCTGCAGGGGAAGGGCTTGTTTGTTTGTTTTTGGAGGTGGGTGTTCCACAAGGGGAAATGGTAGAAGCCCCGTCAAATGCATTCTTTAAAGCAATCAAAAATGTATTATAGGGAATAATTTTATATGCGTAGGGGTATGGACTTGATTTCCTGATAGATCTTGCACATCTTTAATTTTAGCCCTGGGGAAATTCTGCGGGAACTACCCCCCTCGTAGAATGCCTGTGCTTCCCTGCAGAAAACGTCAGGGAAGCAAAGAGAAGCCTCACGGGCAGTGGGATGACCATGAGTGCAGTTGGGGGAGGGTTTCCCCCACCCAAACAGGGTGAGGCATGGGGGAAGCACACAGGGTTACATGCCACTGCCCCTCCGCCCCTCATTTCTGCAACCACAGAGCTGCCCAGCTGAAGTAGGGGGATGAGATGGGGAAGAACGGGGATAGGGGAATTGCAAGGGGAAGCAGGAGTCCGGCATGTAGCGTCCCCTTGGCTGCATCTGGGGCTTCCCTGTTAAGCAGGCCCATGGAACCCTTACCCTGAAAAGCCCTAGCCCCCTACACCTCGACCTCTCTGCTGAGCCCCTCACACCCAGACCCCCACTACACTGAGCCCCAACCAGCTGCACCTGGATCCCCCTCATCAAACCCCATTCCCCCAGTAACTGGACCCTCCCACTAAGCTCCCCACACTCAGACCCCCTCCACCAAGCCCCATCTCCCCATACCCAGACACCCCCCCCGAGCCCCCTACATTCAGAATTTTAAAATATTATTTTAAATACATTTTATTTTTTTGGTGCCTAATTTTTAATTTTTTTGTGCATAATTTCGCTCAGGAGTAATTACTATAGGTCAATACAGCTCCAGCCATATGACAGATTTATATCGTTAATAATCTGAAAGAACCTCAAAACTTCTCTCAAAAAGTATACATTTGGGGGAACGTAGAAAAAGAAGATTCTGCTACAATATGAATGAAGTAATATGCAGATGTTTCCTAGCACCACTTCTGCAGGGTAAAAAGATTAGAGGGTTTTTGATACCCCCAAATTTTAAATGAGAAATATGAAAACAGGACTCCACTTCCGCAGAGTGATTATAGGCCACTGAAATGCTTATAAATAGAATGTTTTAAACCATATGCCATACTTTCCCTTACTTTTCTTTCCTCATTTTTTTAAGTAGTAGGTATGTTTGCATGAAATACACTCAGTATTTCTTAAGAGTTCATGAGCTGATTCCTCATTTTGTTCACAGTCAGTTGAAGAGATGATGGTTTTGTTACAGAGCTCCTGTTCCAAAACTCACTGAAGTCAATGGGGAAAAAGCTTCCATTAAATTGAATAGGTTTTGGACAAGTGATGATTCTGACTTCAAGTGAGGAACAAGCAACAGAACAGATTAAAATAAATAATGAACTGGTAATGTAAAATAAGGGAATTACTAGACCATATTGGCAAAATTGTTTCCAAATGGAATATTTTTCAAACTTTTCTGTAAGAACATAAGAAGGCCATATTGGGTAGACCAATGGTGTATCTAGCCCAATATCCTGTCTTCCAAAAGTGGCCAATACCAGATGCTTCCAAGGGAATGGACAGAACAAGATAATCATCAAGGGATCCATCTGCTGCATCGAGTCCCAGCATCTGGCAGTCAGAGGCTTAGGGACATCCAGAGTGTAGAGTTGCATCTCTGCCCACTTTGTCTAATAGCCTTGATGGACCTATCCTCCACGAACTTATTTAATTCTTTTTTGAACTCAGTTATACTTTTGGCCTTCACAACATCTCCTGGCAATCAGTTCTACAGGTTGACTGTGCGTTGTGTGAAGAAGTACTTCCTTTTGTTTGTTTTAAATCTTCAGCCTATTAATTTCATTGGTGATCCCTGATTCTTGTGTTATGTGAAGGAGTAAATAACACTTCCTTATTCATGATTTTATAGACCTCTATCATATCCGCACTTAGTCATTTCTTTTCCAAGCTGAAAAGTCCATGTCTTTAAATCTCTCCTCATATGGAAGCTGTTCCATACCCTTAATCATTTTTGTTTCCCTTCTCTGTATCTTTTCCATTTCTAATGTCTTTCTTGAGATGGGTTGACCAGAACTGCACACAGTATTCAAGATGTGGGCGTACCATTGATTTATATAGTGGCATTATGATATTTACTCTCTTATTATCTATCCCTTTCCTAATGGTTCCTAACATTTTGTTAGCTTTTTTGACCCCCAGTGCACATTCAGTGGATGTTTTCAAAGAACTATCCGTGATGACTCCCAGATCTCTTTCTTGAATGATAACAGCTAATTTAGACCCCATCATTTTGTATGGATAGCTGGAAATATGTTTTCCAATATAGATTACTTTGCATTTATCAACATTGAATTTCATCTGCCATTTTGCAGTGCAGTCACCCAGTTTTGTGAGATCCCTTTGTAACTCTTTGCAGTCAACTTTGGACTTAACTATCTTGAGTAATTTTGTATCATCTGTAAACTTTGCCATCTCACTGGCAAATTGTGGGGTCAGCGACAAGGGACTGGTTGGGGATTATGACAGATATCCATTCCTCTCGCCAGAGTGTTTCTGCCCTAACATCCTGGGGTGGAAAATGAGACCATAATGGGCGACGTGATGACAAACATGCAGCTGGTGGTTTAAAAAGGTCATTGTGCAGCAGCAGGCTTGAATTGGCGCGTACTTTCTCCAGTAACTTGCCAGTGGCAACCTCTCATCTGATATGATGCGGAGCAATATTGCTTAGAACTGGAAGCCATGGGAGTGGGGTCAGACGCAGGGTGCTGGAGATGATATGCATGGTGGCATGTAACTGCGGATCCACCAGTTTGGTGTGTGACGATCGACTCCAAACTGGTGTGCAGTACTCCACCACCGAATAGGTGGTGGCAAGGGCTGATATCCACAAAGTTGGAGCATGAGCACCCCATGATGAACCTGCCAGTTTGCTAAGAAGATTGTTGTGAGTCTTAACTTTAGCTGCTGTCTTCTTCAGATGGGCATGGTAACTCAGTGTGCAGTCTAAGGTCACACCTAGATAGATCAGTTCTACTTCATGCTTCACCTTCTGACCATTCAGATAAACATTCAGTGTTTGGGTTGTGCTGGTGTGGCGAAGATGGAACAAACTGGAAACTGTTTTTATGACACTTGGCTGGAGGCACCAGTCTTACAGTAGCTAACTTTATCATATCCCAGTTTAAGGTGGCATCAAGCTCGTGAAATGTCCAGGCTTGGGTACCGCAACAGATGTCATCTGCGTAAATGAACTTTCGTGACTCCATTGTTGGCAGGTCATTGATGTAAAAGTTGAACAGAGTTGGAAAAAGCACACAGACCTGGGGTAACGCATTGTTGTCTCTGGGGATATAAGGAGGTTGACACCAACTGTGAACAACTTGCAAACTGGGCATCTCGAAACAACCTTGCCCTTCTCCATGATGTTAAGCAGTGAGGCACGTTCCATTCTTCTAGATGGGATCATGACTACTCTCCTGACTTGTGCTGGGTCAGTTCAGTTCATGGCCATCCTCAGCCAGCAACATGCCAAGTCTTGGATAACTTTCCACGCAGCCAACACAGACCGTCGCTGATCCATATCAGGCTACAGATCACAGTTGTCAAGAGTCCCAAAAAGAAGTGGTGGAGATTCTGAAAGGCAGACAGGGAAAAATACAGGGAAGCACTGGAGAAGAGAGTAGTGACAATACCAGCCGAGCATATCTCGGTAAATGAGACCTACTGTCACTTCTGTGGTGCTACCCCATGCGGTTGCCGCTCTGTCTACATCCCCTCTCTCGACGAAGAATGCGCTGCCTTGCTAGAACAGTATGAGGCATCTGGTGACCCAGATGTCACTGACCATCTGATCGAATCGTTGGACTCTGTTCGCCGAGCCAGATGGGAGGAGACAACCAACAGGATGAGCTTTACCCGCTCCAGCTGCAAGTGTTAGAGTCTGCTCTGAAGCCTTGGAGCAGGGCAGCAGCCACCTGCACTCTGCCGACCCTCAGTGACACCCAACCAGGTAGCTGGACACCTACTTAAAGTGGCCAGAGCACCTTTGGAGAAACAGGTGTGAAGACAAGTGAGGAACAAATGGCGTATGTTTAAATGTGTACACCAGATCAGAAGCTGCCCAGAACCATTCACTGTAACCAAGCTGGAACAGACACTGGGTAGCTTCAAGTGTGGAACAGCTGCGGGCTATGACAACATATCTCCAGAATTCCTGAAAAACCTTGGCCCCCGTGCTCAGCTTTGGCTTGTGAAACGCAACAGGTGAACAAGACAGACAAACAAGGTGGATGGGTAAATGGGGTAACAAAACAAATAAGCTTTAGCAAAAAAGCAGATGTCCGAATATCTTTAACCTCTAGATAATAAGCATGATTTCACAGAAACATAGAAGATAGAGATGGAAAAGATGTGTTGGGCCGCACAGTCCACCACTTGGCCAATAAAGGATTGTTTCCTAGAATACTTTTCCTAGTTTTCTGTTCAGTCTAATTCCAATTGTCCCAATCAGTGCGGCTTCCACTACGCCTCTTAAAAGATTACCGCACCACATTCTAGTAGATCTCGTTGTCAAGAAGTTCTTTCTGCTATGTAGCCCAAATGTTCATCTAGTTTCTCTAAATAATCCCTTAATATTTCACACTGTACTTTATTCCTACTTTCTTCCTCTTCCCCAGTTCCTTACTATAATTTTAGGGTACAAATGCAACAAGCTCTATTCAAATACAGTGACAGCAGCTACAGAGACAAAGTTGAACTTTTCTATTATTAAATCTTACTGAATTTGAAGAGCCCATCCCAGGATCTGCAGAACTCTCTCCAAGGTTTTGGAATAAATGGACGAAGCCATTTGGGAATTGCCCCTGCATACATAGTTGTCTTAAACATGCTAAACATCAATTCCAGAGCCTCAATGTATTCCACAGTCTTCTCTGGGATGTTGTTTTCCAGGCAGCCCAATCGGGATTCATACAGAATAGTTGCCACACCTGAAAAGGAGAAAAGTCACAGAATTTAAAGTCCCTTCATTCTTTTTATTTTCTTTGAGTTATTTATGGTACAGAATTAAAAGGTAAAGGAACAGAACCAAGTCTGCAAAAACATGCTTAATTAGTTTGACTAGCACTTACTTGGGATGGTTTAGGGATAATACAGTCCCTTATAAAACAGAGGGTAGACTAAATGACCTCCTTATGTGTCCTTTCTATGATAAAGGAGATGTTAAAGTTATTTCTTTTTTCTCCTTTTACCTCTTCATGGGCCACCTTGAAGAATTATTTCTGGACAAATGAACTATGAAACCAATGATATACCTGAGATACATCGATGATATATTCATTCTCTGGACAAACGACTTAAACTCCCTTATAGACTTCCACCACAACTTCAGCAATCATCACCTATCCATTAAACTCTCTCTGGAACATTCCCATACGAGCAACAATTTCCTTCATACCACAATCAGCTTCAACAATGGAATCCTACAGACAACTATATACAAGAAACCCACGGATTACCACACCTACCTTCATAGATCCAGTAACCACCCCAAACACACCAAGAAATCTGTTACTTACAACCAGGCACTCATATATCACAGAATATGCTCTGAGGAGAAAGTCCAGGACACTCAAAATTGCCTTCACCAAACAAGGACACTCCACCAGAAAAGAAGATTGTATCATAGAACAGGCCACCCAAATACCCTGAGAGAACCTGTTTCAATACAGAAATAAAACCACCTCTGACACACACCCCTACTTGTCACTAGCGCCCCACACTGGAACTCATACGGGGTGTCATCAAATAACTACAACCCGTACTCAATGGGGACCCCCATCCTGAAAGAAATCTTTTCTGAACCCCCTCTCCTGGCCTTCCAACAATCCCACAACCTCTCCAAGCTCATCATCAGAAGCAAGCTTCTCACAGGCCAGGGGCACACCACTTCAAAGCAGTACCAGATCCTGCCCAAACAACAGATACAAAACCTGCAGATATACCTCCACTGCTACAATGATTGACATCCCCGACACACACCTTTCAAGATCCATGGGTCCTACTCATGCCTACAACAATATGTGGTGTACTTCATCCAGTGCACTCAATGCCCCAACAGAACCTATGTGGGTGAAACCAGACAATCATTACACTCTCCAATGAACTCACACAGGAAAATGATAAAAGACAAAAACACCCTATCTCCTGTGGGTGAACACTTTTCACAAAGCGATCACTCTATATCTAACCTATCAGTCTTCAACCTCAAAGGGAACCTGCACAACATTTCCAAAGATGAGCCTGGGAGCTTAAATTCATAACTTTGCTAGACACTAAAAATCATGGATTGAATTGAGACACAGGATTTATGGCTTATTACAACAATCTATAACCCCTAACAATGCCTCCTTAGTTGCTTCCCCCCACCACCACTTCCTTTCCTTCCTATGACTGGAGGGGTGACAACGGGTCACTTCACTTTGAAGGATCCCTGGAAATATATGTTAACTGCTTACACTAAACAATCTGTTCCATCTTGTATTTAGCTGTGACACTCTTAAGTTTCCCAGATCTGAAGAAAAGCTCTGTGTAAGCTCAAAAGTTTGTCTCTCTCATCAACAGAAGTTCGTCCAATAAAATATATTACCGCACTCCCCTTGTCTCTCTAGTTCATGCAGTGTCAGTTAAAGAACCACATGAAACTTTAAAACAAAAACTAATAATTCAACCACTGCTGAAAATCAGATATTTGGGAAAGGAATAAAACAAATGTTTAAATGCACAAAAAAAAAGCTACATAACAGTTACATAAGAACATAGGAATCGCTATATTTGATTGGACAGGAGATCCATCTAGTCAAGTATCTTTGCCTCCACCAGTGGCCAGATGCTTCTGAAGAAAGCGTAAGACCCCCACAGTTAGGCAGATGTAGGCACTGAAGAAAAATACTTTTCCTTGTTGAAACTGAAGACAGAATTTAGGTAGGCTAAATGTGACCCCTTGGCCTAGAACTTGGTAAGTATATTGAAGCTTAATGCCCCTACACTTGTGAAAAGTACCCTAGTATTTTGGATGATTACAAGTGGTTAGGACCTTGGGTTTACACTTTGTTTATAGGTGGGAACTTCAGTAGCAAGTGACCCTTAACACAAGGCAGATATGGGATTAGTTCTGACTCTGATGAAAGAATGCTACTGATTCTTTAGCTGAAGTAGGTGCTAGTTAAGTGAAGCATTTGTAGGATCAAGCCATCTGATTGTTTTAAATTAGCTCGAGTGTGGCAGTGGCAGTTTATGATAAAAATGCCTAATTATAATCACATGGTTTCGCATTAATTTTCTTTCCAGATATTATGTGGTCTGTGTCTCACCTTCCATGGAATACTTGAAGAAAAGGTTGTTAACATTGGTCACTGTTTCCCTATCTTCCTCTTGACTCCTGAGAGTGTTGATTCTCTTAATTAAATCTGTGATGACTTCATTGACTCCTTCAGAGAAAACAGCCACATCCTTGGGTTTCAGGACCTTCTGCCTTAGTACACTCCTCATTTTTAGCCATTCTTCCCCTTCCCTAGAAGAAATAATTTAAAATATCTATGTACAATTCTTCCTGACAATTGTTAGCGAGGCAGGAAGTTCATGAATTAAATAAGAGTCTCTCATTAGCGAGTGATAAACAAATTCATTGGTAAAACTGAAACCACTACTGGGAAGGAGTATAGTGGACACTGGTGTGTCAAGTAATATGTTCTTAAGTTTCTTATTCTGTATTTACTGAAGGTGGCAAGTCATTCCATTGTCTAATTCACCTCACTGTTACAGTACGCAATCAAGTTTGTAAGTTAATTAATGTGTACTGGTTAGAGCTGTAGGACTCTTTCTGTCAGTATTCTGGAAGGGTCTTCAGGTAATTGTTTAATCACACCTGCTATATACATACAGTACCTGACCAACAAAACACATCTGAGATTCTGGTTTGCAAAAGTATCACACATATTCCCATTAAAATGAAATTTTGAATATACATTTATCTTTGCTAATTTGTTTTCTTTTATACAGATTTGGTGCTTTTCTTCCCAAAACATCCAACATAACCAGATTTCATGGTCCACTGGTCTGATTTAATATAGCAAATCCTGTTATTGGCATATCAAGCCCTGTTATGTTTATTCCAAATCTAGGGGAAGTTTTCTGTGAGCAAAGTTTACTTTCTGTGAGATATGGTACTTTTCAAGTCCTAACCACCTACAGTACGAGAAGTTCAAGACAGACCATTAATACATTAAGAATTACATAACTTAGAACAGTGGTTCTCAACTAGAGAGTACGTAGAGGTCTTTCAAACGGTACATCAAGTCATCTAGATATTTACCTAGGTTTACAATAGGCTACATAAAAAGCACTAGCAAAGTCAGTACAAACTAAAATTTCATACAGACAATGACTTGCTTATTCTACTCTGTATACTATACACTGAAATGTAAGTACAATATTTATAGTCCAATTGATTTATTTTATAATTATATGGTAAAAATGAGAAGGTCAGCAATTTTTCAATAATAGTGTGCAATGACACTTTTGTATTTTTATGTCTGATTTTTTAAGTAAGTTGTTTTTAAGTGAGGTGAAACTTGAAATACACAAGACAAATCAGATTCCTGAAGGGGTACAGTAGTCTGGAAAGGTTGAGAGCCACTGACTTAGAGTATGTGAGCTGAACAGGTTCATGCCAATTCAGATACTATAATGTGTCTGTATAATGTCTATGTGTATAACAGCAGTTCTCAACCAGGAGTCTGTGGGCCCTTTCTGTGGGGCCACAGGGCTCCACAGCTGAAACCCGGTGCCCCAAGTCCTAGCCCCCCCCCCCCCCCGGGGCTGAAACTAGGAGATCCAGGGTGAGGGGTGTGGGCTCTGGGAGAAAGTTTGGAAGTGGGGTGCAGGCTCTGGGCTGGGGCAGGAGATTGTGGGGTGGGAGGGAGGATGGGAGCGGCCAATGGGAGCTGCAGAGTCGGCGCTCAGGAGGGGGCAGCGGCACGGAGGGAGGGAGGCAGAGCGGGCAAGGAGCCGCCTTAGCCCTGCTGCTGGCATGTCTCTGCGCACCTCTTGCAGGGAGGGGGGCAGCAGGTCTCCGTGTGCTGCCCGGGCTGGGGGTAGCGCACGAAGCCACCTCCTCCCCCCTCCAGGGGCGCACAGAGACGTGCCAGCAGCCGTCCACTTCTGTGTGCGGTGTGGGGCCACCAGCCATGGCATGCAGTGCCTGCCTGAGCCCTGCTGCACTGCTGGCTGGGACTCAGGGGCAGGTTGTCAGATATTTGTCCTGCATTTTGGGGCCCTCCTGTCATTGGGGGCCCCGTGTCACTGCACGGTTTGTTTCATGGTAAATCCGCTTCTGAGTGTTGTGGCAGCCATGTTGGTCCCAGGACATTAGAGAGACAAGGTGAGTGAGGTAATATCTTTTATTGGAACAACTTCTGTTAGTGAAAAAGACAAGCTTTTGTATTTACACAGTGCTCTTCTTCAGGTCTGGGAAAGGTACTCAAGAGTGTTACAGATAAGTACAAGGTGGATCAGATAAGGAACTAACACATACACACCAACTTAAAGCAGCACTAGTTGCTGCCATAACAACAGATGCAAAACCTGCAAACATATCTGCACTGCTCCAGTGATCAATATCCCCGCAACAAACACACCTTTCAAGATCCATACGTTCTACACATGCCCATCACAAAATGTGGTGTACCTCAATCAGTACACTAAATGCCCCCAAAAACTACATGGGTGAAACGAGAGAATCGTTACACTCAAATGAACTCACCCACAAAAATGATAAAAGACATATACACCATATCACCTGTGGGCAAACAATTTTCACAAAACGGTTATTCTGTATCTGACCTCTCAGTCCTCATCCTCAAAGGTAACCTGCACAACATCTTTAAAAAACAAGCCTGGGAACTTATATTCACAACTCCACTAGACACCAAAAATCATAGACTTAATAAAGATAAGGAGTACTTGTGGCACCTTAGAGACTAACAAATTTATTTGAGCATAAGCTTTCGTGAGCTACAGCTCACTTCACTGGATGCATAAAGTGGAAAATGCAGCGAGGATGTTTTATACACACAGACCATGAAAAAATGGGTGTTTATCACTTCAAAAGGTTTTCTCTCCCCCCACCCCACTCTCCTGCTGGTAATAGTTTATCTAAAGTGATCACTCTCCTTACAATGTGTATAAAGATAGGTTTCAGAGTAGCAGCCGTGTTAGTTTGTATTCGCAAAAAGAAAAGGAGTATTAGTGGCACCTTAGAGACTAACAAATTTATTTGAGCATAAGCTTTCGTGAGCTACAGCTCACTTCATCGGATGCATTAATAAAGATACTGGATTTATGGCTCATTACAACAATCTGTAAACTACTAACACACCTTTGGCCTAGGATTGTAGAAGTGTTAACTGCCCACTTCACCTTGAATGGTCTCTTGCAACATGAGTTGACTCCTTATCTGTTCCATCCTTGTATTTAGTTGTGACACTCTGAGTACCTTCCCCAGACCTGAAGAAGGGGAAAGCTTGTCTCTTTCACCAACAGAAGCTGGTCTAATATCTAAAGGTATTACCTCACCCACCGTCTCTCTCTGCGTTATTTAAGCAGACAAACCAACAGTCTTTCAAACATTTTTAAATTGTCACGTGAATAAGCACTCCCGCTGAAAGTCTTCCACTTGGAATGGGATGCTGCTGTAGATTACAGAAAGTTACTGGACCAGAGAGGAATTTCATCCCCCGCCACCTCCCCACTGCCTTCTCTTCTCTTGCTGTCTCTGGAATGCCCACTCCATCTCTAAAAAGGTCTCAGTCATCCATGACCTTTTCATATCTTGCTCCCTCCAGCTCCTGGCTCTCAGATACCTGAATCCCTTCGTTTGGCTTGGCCTCTGAAACTTGCCCTCTCTTATGGAGGCCTCTCCTCTCACATCTCCTGCCCTGCATCAGGCCACGGTGGAGTTGTCGGGCTTCCCTCCCATTCCTGCTGCTTCCAACCCCTCCCTCTTCCCCCTTCCCACCCTTTCTTCTCTTTTGGACAGCACGGCATCCAACTCTTCTCTCCTTTTCCTGTCCACGTTGCTATCAACTACCATTCACCCAACTCCTTCCCATCAGCCCTCTTCTCCGGCTATGATTCCTGGCTCTCTCTCTTCCTCTCCTCACAATCCACCATATGCATCCTTCTCATCCCTGAGTAATTTCATGTTGATAACCCATCCAACCCCCGTAAATGCATGTTTCCTCACCCTCATGTCTTCATTCAACCTGCAGCCCTGGTTCAACTATCCCACTTGCAAAAAGAGCCATTCACTTGACTTGGTTTTACCAAGCACTGCTCTCTTTGATCTCTCTGTTGCTGAGTTCCCCCTCTTCAACCATTATTCAGTCGCGTTCAACATTGCCTGTCAGCCTCCTCTCTCATGCCCTGTCATTTGGCCTTTCCATGACTTCCAGTCCATCAGCACTTCCAGTGCACTTCTCATCTGCTCTCTGCTCTCTCTTCCCTTTCCTCCATTGATATGGTTGTTGATTCACTTAATTCCTCTCTGTCCTCCACCCTTGATTCTTTTGCCCCCCTTTCCCATTGAAAGGGCCACCCACAATCCCAGTTGTCTTTTCATCACCTTTACTCATTCCTCAAACTGTCTCATCTTCCTGTCTCCACTTCTCTCTTTGCAGAGTACCTTGCTGATTTCTAGCAGGAAAAAAATGACAAAATATTATGTGACTTTCCCTGACTCTTCAGTTTGCCTTCCCTTCCCCCTCCTACAACTCTCTCCTCCTTCTCTCTCATCACAGATGCACAAATTCTTCTCTGATCTCCTCCTTCAGGCCCTCCACTTGCCCCAGTGACATCATCCTATCCCATCTCCTGATCTCCCTTGTGCCCACTTTCATCCCCTACCTGACTCATCTCCTTAACTGCTCACTATCTTCCATCTCTTTGCCTTCACAATACAAACATATTTTAGTCTCTCATATCTTAAAAAAAAAAAAAAACTACCTGTGACCCCACTTGTCTCTGCAACTACTGCCCCAACTCCCTTCTCCATTTCATCTCCAAACTCATTGAACACACTGTCTACAATCGTTGTCTGGAGTTCCTCTTCTCCAATTCCATCCTAGACCCTCGTCAGTCTGGCTTCCACCCCTTACACTCAACTGAAGCCGCTCTCACCAAAGTCTCTAATGATCTCTTTTTTTAGCCAGATCACAGAACCAGTACTCCATCCTCATTCTCATTCTCCTTAACTTGTCTGCTGCCCTGTCATCCCTATCATCCAGTCTCAGCTTCTTGCAGAGGTTTAGGGACAACTGGAGCATGGGGCTGTGTCCCTGACCATCTTGGGTAATAGCCTTTGATGAACCTACCTTCATGATCTTATCTAATTCTTTATGGAACAGAGTTATACTTTTAGACTTTCCAACATCCCCTGGCAATGAGTTCTGCAGATTGTCTGTGCATTGTGTGAAGAACTACTTCTTTTTGCTTTCAACTTACTGCCTATTAATTTCATTGGGTGACTCCCGTTCTTGTGTTACATGAAGGGGTAAAGAACACTTCCCTATTCAGCTTCTCCACATCGTTCACAATTTTATAGACTTCTATCATATCCCCCCGGCCCTTACTCAGCTCTTTTCTAAGCTGAACAGTCCCAGTCTTTTTAAATCTCTCCTCGTATGGAAGCTGTTCTATACCCCAATCAGTTTTGTTGCCCTTCTCTGCACCTTTTCCAATTCTTATATATCAACAAGGAGCCATTATTTTGAATCTGACCTATATTTTAACCTTGAGATTTTGGTGTAATGTGAGTGTTAAATGCATTATCAGGCTTTCACTATATAAAGCCTTTTGCTACTGCAATTTTATCTCATCAAAGTAAGAGAATGGCCATGACTCACAAAAAGATTGGTTCCCTTTTGCATAAACACATTACATCATTGATTACTGTGAATGCTTCACAAGGACAATTACCCTCATACACCACCACCACCACCACCACCACCCCACACACACACAATCATGTTACATGCAAGCTTTCAGAGGCAGATAACTCTTCTTGAACCAATCATATGCTAAATGAAAAAAACCACCAGGCTGATTTATATAGTACTTCAGAAGATTAACATGCTTTGATAATACAAATTAAGAAGGGAAAAAAGTAACCATACTTACGCAGAAATAAGTCCTGTAGCTCTCCCTCTTAAATCTCTGTACTCTTGCCAGGATTCCATGTTAGCTCTTTGTGGAGTTCTACCTTCCGCCCGGAGCACCTGAGCAACCATGTCTCGATCTGCAATGGACACTACAAACTGTGGACCAAAGTGAGACTTGAAGATCTTTCCATACTCCTGAGTGTGTTTTTGCTGCAACATCAACAACAAATCAGAGAAAAAAAACATTATGAAAAAAAAAATAAAGGCAAAGGAAACTGATACTTTTGTCATAGAACATATCAATTTGCATTGACATAAAATGCCACCTAATCTACTGAGGGGAGAGTTTGCAGCAGTAGCACTTTAGAAACAGAATAAGTTTTTCAGGAGCAAACCATACTTCTGAATACCAGCCATCTTCAAAGATATTTCATTACTTGAAAGACAGGAGTTGAAGACCAGCCTGATGATCTAGTGGCAGAACCGTGAGCAGTCATGTGTTGGATCCAGATCTAGGTCCCAAGCTCTTCAATCAAGCAATAGCTGGAAGTGTCACTAGAAAGCATCATCATTCTTGAAATACTCACCATGACCAGAAGGGGAGGTCACTGCTATGCAGGATCTTTGAGGCTGGAAAGACCCCAGACCTCCACAAGACACAAAGGGCTAGCTACACTGAATATTGAAGAGGTGAAAGGACTTGTGGAGTATGGAAATGTCCAGCTCATGTCCAAAAGAGTGACAAAATTGTTTTTCCCCCATGTCAACCTGTTGTGCAGTGCTCCATTTTGAAAATATTGGTCTTATATAAAAGATCAGCCCCAAAAAGATCAAAACAAAGGATGAAAGTAAAGGGAGGTAAGAAGCATAGTCAAGAAGTAAATTTTTACTTTTTTGTTTTAAAAAGGCTCACTTGTCCCTCTTCAATAAATAAAGCAATTAGTGTGTTCCTTATTCTTTACAAAGTCTACTCAATGACCTTGCCATTAGGGCTGCCAGCACAACAGCAGTGCATTGAAATTTCCAAATTTTAGAGTAGATTTATTATGACAAACATCTCAAAAAAGGCATACATTGTCAGGTGGTGGAAAAGAAAAGGTGGAGGGTGTTCTACTTATCTAATAAGGTATCTCTGTTGAGTGATCCATGAATACTAGCTGGAGGCAAAGAGCAGGCAATTAAGAAAGAGGAATTGAGAAACATTCAACAATAAAAAAAACAAACAAAAAGATTTCTCAAAAGATTATTTTACAGAGTGATGCTCTATCTTTCCCAACAAATAGAAAAAGATTAACAGATTTCATTCGGAGATGGTCTTGAAATGAAGCACCCATCTCTCAGGAATTCATTTTGAATATATCTGAGGAGAGATTAGAACTAAATGTAGGCCGAGATAAAGCCACAAAACCACTTTAGGAGATAGTAGATATAGATAATAAAAATCCATTAGCAGGAGAGCTGGTGTAGAAGAACCAAGAGTTCTGAAGGAACTCAAATGTGAAATTGCAGGACCTCTAACTGTTGTCTGTAATCTATCATTTAAACCAGCTTCTGTATCAAATGACTGGAGGATAGCTAATGTGACGTCAATTTTTAAAAAGGGCTCCAGAGATGACCCCGGCAATTACAGGCCGGTAAGCCTGACTTCAGTACCGGGCAAACTGATTGAAACTATAGTAAAGAACAAAATTGTCAGACAAATAGATGAGCATAATTTGTTGAGGAATAGTCAAAATGGTTTTTATAAAGGGAAATCATGCCTCACCAATCTACTAGAATTCTTTGAGGGGGTCAACAAGCATGTGGACAAGGGGAATCCAGTGGATGTAGTGTACTTGGATTTTCAGAAAGCCTTTGACAAGGTCCCTCACAAAAGGCTCTTAAGCAAAGTAAGTTGTAATAGGATAAGAGGGAAGATTCTCTCATGGATTGGTAACTGGTTAAAAAATAGGAAACAAAGGGTAAGAATAAATGGTCAGTTTTCAGACCATTTAGAGAGGTAAATAGTGGCGTTCCCCAAGGGTCTGTACTGGGCCCAGTCCTATTCAACATGTTAGAAATGATCTGGAAAAAGGGGTAAACAGTGAGGTGGCAAAATTTGCAGATGATACAAAACTACTCAAGATAGTTAAGTCCCAAGCAGAATGCAAAGAGCTACAAAAGGATCTCTCAAAACTGGGTGACTGGGCAACAAAATGGCAGATGAAATTCAGTGTTGATAAATGCAAAGTAATGCACATTGGAAAACATAATCCTAACTATACATATAAAATGATGGGGTCTAAATTAGCTGTTACAACTCAAGAAAGAGATCTTGGAGTCACTGTGGATAGTTCTCTGAAAACATCCACTCAATGTGCAGCGACAGTCAAAAAAGCGAACGGAATGTTGGGCATCATTAAGAAAGGGATAGATAATAAGACAGAAAATATCATATTGCCTCTATATAAGTCCATGGTATGCCCACATCTTGAATACTGCATGCAGATGTGGTTGGCCCATCTCAGAAAATATATATTAGAATTGGAAAAGTTTCAGAAAAGGGCAACAAAATTTATTAGAAGTATGGAACGGCTGTCGTATGAGGAGAGATGAATAAGACTGGGACTTTTCATCTTGGAAAAGAGATGACTAAGGGGGGATATAATAGAGATCTATAAAATCATAAGGAAGTATTATTTACTCCTTCTCATAACTCAAGAACTAGGGGCCACCAAATGAAATTAATAGGCAGCAGGTTTAAAACAAACAAAAGGAAGTATTTTTTTTATACAACGCACAGTCAATCTGTGTAACTCCTTGCCAGAGGATGTTGTGAAGGCCAAGACTATAACAGGGTTCAAAAAAGAACTAGATAAATTCATGGAGGATAGGTCCATCAATGGCTATTAGCCAGAATGGGCAGGGATGGTGTCTCTAGCCTGTTTACCAGAAGCTGGGAATGGTGGGCAGGGGATGGATCACTTGATGATTACCTGTTCTGTTCATTCCCTCTGGGCTATTGACCTGGCATTGGCCACTGTCGGAAGACGGGATACTTCTGGGCTAGATGGACCTTTGGTCTGATCCAGTATGGCCGTTCTTATGGTAAGAAAATTTACAATCAGAGAATCAGGATCGGAAAAAATCCACCATCAGGAGAACAGATTTAATTTGAGTAAAAAGAAAACGGTGAAGTGAGCTGTAGCTCATGAAAGCTTATGCTCAAATAAATTTGTTAGTCTCTAAGGTGCCACAAGTACTCCTTTTCCTTTTGCGAATACAGACTAACAGAGCTGCTACTTTGAAACCTTAATTTGAGTAGTATCCCTTAATCTTCCACTATTGTATAGATGAGATGTTCAATTGCCTGTAATAACCTTGGAAAGAATTAATCATTCTTTAACATATTGTACTACATTCTTATAACATACGTACATTCAGTTATACTCTTTATGGTGAGATTTATAAGCTAGAATTCAATAAAGACAACTTTGGACTAAATTTTGAGGAGTGAAATCTAATGAAATATGTGTTCTTTCCACAAATAATAGAAAAAGAAGGTAACTCCTCAGGGCAGGAATCTTGTCTTCCATTGTGACTGTACAGCCTCTAGCTCATCTGGGGACATTACTTGTAAAAAATAATAAAATATTAAACAAAATGGTGTTTTTTGCATCACATGTATATTGCAGATATGTCTGAAAGGTCTGTTTGATATTTTATTTCACAAACCCATTAATTCCATATTTTGTTTCTTGTTACAATTATTAAAAATACCCTGCCTTGTCTCCCTACTCCCTCATATGTCATGCTGTACTTCACACACAACATTTGAATTCGCAGAGTCCAAACCCTTCCCCCTCACCTTCGTTTTCCTTCTCTCTGAACCTATGGGTGGAACACAACAGCTCCAACTCCACTGAACTCAAAACTCTTTTCCTTTACCCAGAGTTGCTGTATGCACTGCTGCTATGGCCAACTAAATTCTGGAATCAGGTTACTGAGAACAGAACCTTCATTGTAAAAAATGCTTAAATCCCCCCCACACCACCCCTTTTGCATATGGAACATTTCTGTCTCTCAAAGAACATAATTTAAGTAGCTGCAATGGTTACCAAGAGGTTTCAGATTAATTCATTCCTGATGTTCACTCTGTTGTTAAATTTAACAGGGTGTTATTAATCCAGTTACAGAGTATATACAAACAAGCCATCATGATTTGTAAACTAAAATGTTTTGTGAGACTCTAAACTGAATAAAAAATAGATAACATATACTGCCCCACACCTTTTTTTGCGGTTTTTCCTTCCACAAATTGTATTGGATTAAGGGGAAAATCCTGTATTGTTCAGTGGTTGTGGCATGTATTACTATTTTTCCACCTCTAGTTTCTTTGATTGTTGTTATTTTCAAAAATTTTCATAGCACTAACAAATATTTTAGTTGCTAAAATTAAAGAAAGCAATATTTTGCACAGTACGTATAACCCTGTTGTAATTTAATTTGTGGATATGGGTCACATGTCTGTCTTGTACACCCACACACACACAGTATTTTTTGCTTTGTTTCTCTCAGGGGGGAGTCAGTTGTTTTAATTGGCTACCAATCCAGTTAGGCCAAGAAATTCAAAAATAGAAGACTAAAGTTTGGCTGCCATTGACCTCACTAAAGATTTAAGAGTCTAACTCTAGTCTATTCTTAAAAATTTTAACAGAAAGTAACATATAATCTTTACTCTAAAATACAGCAACTTGTTTGAATTTTCCCTTTTTGCCTTTCCTTTCCCTTTCTGGGAATTTTTAGTCCCTCTTCTCCATCCTGATTTTTGTTTCCTTCCATAGTTCATGTTTCTATCCTGATACCTTGTGTTTTCTCAGCAGCTGCCCTTTCCTTTCCCCTCTTTTCCCTTTTTATCTTCTCTCCTCCTTTTCCATCCCCAAGACCCTCTGCTGCTGCTTCTTAGACCTGGTCTACACTTAAAAAGCTTTAACTTATGGCACAACTTATATTATTAAAGGGTATGATTTTTTACCAACAGTTAAACCCTAGCATAGGTGCAGCCATACTGGTATAAAGCCCTTTATGCTAGCCTCGTATATTTTGTTCACCGAACAGGAATAAGCTACACTGGTAGAAGCACTTTTACTCTGGTATAACTGCATCTATATAACAGGGTTTCTGCTGCTTGAATTGAACTATGCCAGCATAGTTAAGGAAGCAAAACTTTT